AATTTTGACAAATGCACACATTCAGCTACAATCAAGATAGAAAAAAAAATCTTCATTATTGTGTTACCACTTTGTAGTCAAGGAATACTATCTTTGTCCCCTGATATCCATTGTTATTTTTCCACTATCCCTATTTGTTTTACCTTTTCCATAAAATGTACAAATGAAATCAAACAGTAGTAGCCTTTTGAGTTTGGATTCTTCTACTTAGCAAAATGCATTGAAGATTCATTCAAGTTGTTGCATGTATGGTTCATTAGTTTTTATTGCCATGCAGAATTTCTTAGTCTGGATGTATCAGTTTCTGTATCAATGCACCAGTTGAAATATATCCTCCATATTTACTTTCCTCCATTGTTAATGGACTGTAGGTCTAGTAATGAGCAGAGATGAGATTTTCCACCCAACAGGAAGCAGTTCCTTTTGGAAAGTTCAGCTGAGAAGTATGTTCCTGGGTAACATGTGTAACAGGCTATACCTGGATAACTTATTACCTATTCCTTAAACTATATTTAAAATTGGAGGGTTAATTCAAAGTGAACAGTCTACCAGAGGAATAGAAGTTTGTCCTGAGTATAGTCAGATGATATCGTCAGAATAGGCCTGACAAATATGCTGGAAGACAAGTAACTGCAAGAGTATTTAATTTTTTTTTAATTTAAAAAATACTGAAAAATCACTCCAAATCACATCATTTCAAAAATTTTACAAACTGAAACCTACTTTCACTCTGTCCAATTCTACCTTCAAAAGGTTTATAATTTGGTATACATATTTCCCAGCCTTTTCCTAAATTAATTTTGAAATATCTATATACACATACCATATATATAAACGCTTTTACTTAAAAATTTTATTAACACTATTCATATTTTTTCATATAATGTTTTAACTTAATACAAAACCTTGGATATGAGTCAGAATATATTCATAGATATAGTCCAATATTTAAATGGCTGCATAGTATTCCATTAAGTGGATGTGCCAGATGTTATTTACACATTTACCTACTGATGAACATTTGGGTAATATCAGACTTTGCATTTTTGTGACAGTTGTATTGATATAGAATTCATACATAATATAATTAACCCACATTATATAGTTCATAGTTTTTAGTATAATTCATAATGTTGTGCTATAATCAACACAATTTTGGAACATTTTAATGAACCTCTAAAGAAACCTCATATACTTCAGCTCTAACCCTAGCCTTTTCCATTCCTTACCCTCCCACCTTGACTCAAAAACACAATTAATCCTCTGTTACTAAATATTTGCCAATTCTGGACACTTCATATAAATGGAATCATATAATATGTAGTCATTTTTGACTGGCTTCCTTTACTGAGCACATTCTCAGGGTTCTTGCATGTTAATAGTATGTGTAAGAAGTGTTCCCTGCTCTTCTACTGTTTGGATGAGTTTAATGAGGAAATTGTATTAATTTTTCTTTAAAGTCTTGGCAGCATTCACCTAAAAAGTCATGTGGGTCTGGGCTTTTCATTGAGGGTATTTTTTCCTTACTCAGTTTAACCTATTTACTTGTTATTAGGGTAGTTCAGATTTTCTTATTTTGAGTTATTTTTGGTAGTTTGGTTTTTCTATAAATTTGTTCATTTCATCCAGGTTAACTTATTCACATGCATTCACATGTTCATAGAATTTCTTCATAATTCTTTTTATTTCTACAAAGTCAGTAATAATATTTTTCCTTCAGTTTTGATTCTAGTAATTTGAGTCTCCTTATTTCCTGATACATCTAGCAAAAGGTTTGTTTTGTAATTTTTTTTATTGAACTAACTTTTGGTTTGGTTTCATTGATTTTTATCTACAGTTTTCTGTCCTCCATGTGGTTTACTTTTTATCTAATATTTTTCCCTCTAAGCATTGCTTTAGCTGCATCCCATAAGTTTTGGTATGTTGTCTTCATTTCCATTTATCTTAAAGGATTTTCTAAAATTTCCCTTGTGATTTCTTCTTTTACCTATTGGTCACTTAAAAGTGTGCCTAATTTTCACATATTTGTAAATTGCAGTTTCTGTTACTAGTTTCTAACTCTATTCCATGTGTTCAGAGACATACTTCATGATTTCAGTCCACTTATAATTATTAAGGCTTGTTTTATGGTTTTGTTTATGATCTATCTGGAAATGTTTCATATACACTTGAGAAGACCATGTATTCTGATGCTGTTGTGTGGAATGTTCTGTAAATATCTTTTAGGTCTATTCGGCTTATCATATTGTTCAAGTCTTCTATTTCCTTATTGATCATCTGTCTACTTCTTCTATTATTGAAAATGGGGGTAGTAAACATTCCAACTTTTTTTGTAAATGTCTATTTCTCCCATTTATTTCATGTTCTGTTTTTAGGTACATGAATTATTTCTAAAAGGTCAGTAGTTATATTTTCTCCTTCATTTAAAAAAAATTTGTGACTTGCCCAATTTTCTGTGCAAACTTTTATAAAGTGTATCTCTTATAATAAACAGCAAAGTTTTGAATCTTGTTTTTTCCCTAGTCTGACAATCTTCATTTCTTGATTAGACTGTTTAATCCATTCACATTTATTATTACTATTGGTGGGTGGATTTACAAAATCCATTTTACTGGTTGTTTTTTTTTTTTTCCTATCTGTCTCAACCTTTTGTTTCTCCTTTCCTCTTTTTGCCTTTTGTATTATTTTCTAATGTGACATTTAAATTTAATAATATTTCATTTTTTTAAAAGTTATTTTCTCGGTGGTTGTTCCAGGGCTTACCATACACACCTTAACTAAACTGGATCAGCTAAAGATATATATTAAGTTAATGTCAGTGATATATAGGAATATTAGTCCTATATAAACCCATTTCTTTCCCCCATTTTGTGGTATGACTGTCATACATATTGTTTTCTCATTATAAACCCGATAATACATTATTATAATCATTACTTAATATAATTCTATGTTTTTTAATGAAGATGAGAGAAGAAAAGCAAGTGTGTATTTATAGCTTTTTTTTTTACATTACCCTTCATTTTTCTCCTATTTTTAAAATTTTTTTTCCTGTGGATTTGAGCTATGATCTAGAGATCTAGAGTCTTTTCCTTAATAACACAGTGTTATTTCCATCTGCCTTGTTTGTTCTATTATTGGCAAATATGTTTTATGCTAAAGACAAAACAATGCAATTATACACATACTGCTTTATACAACTGTTTTTAAAATTAATAAAGGAAAATGAATGCAGATTGCCTTCTATAATTACATATTTACCTTCGTTGATGATCTTTTGTGTGTATATTCATATAAAAGTCTAAGGATACTTGTTTTCAACCTGAAGAACTTCCTTTAATATTTTCTATGAGGTTTGTTCGCAACGAATTCTCTGGTTGTTGTTACATGCGAATGTCTTACTTCACTTCCATTTTTGAAAAAATAGGTTTTTTTGTATATAGGATTCTGGTCAAGAGTTAATTTCCTTTGTGTACTTTGAATATGTTATCTAATTGCCACCAGCATGGCTTCTGCTGAGAAGTCAGTTGTTAATCTTACTGGGGTTCTCTAATAAGTGATAGTTCATTTTATTTGTGCTACTGTCAAGATTTTATGTCTCTGGATTTTAGTACTTATTAGGATGTGTGTCTGTAGTTTTCCTTTTGTTTGTCCTATTTAGGGTTTGCTGAGGTTCTGCAATACATAAATTAATGTTTCTCAACAAATTTGAAGCACTTACATACATTATTTCTTGGAATGTTTCCGCCCCCCCCCTTTCATTCTCTTTTCTTCTAGCACTACCATTACTTCTACACTGGAGTGCTTAATGGTGTTGAGTTCTATACTCTTCAATTTTATCAGTTCTCTTTTATTTCTGTTGTTCACCCTAGACAGAATTATCTTACCTAATCCTCACAACCCAAAGGAGGTAAGTAGTACTATTATCCTCACTTTATAGATGAGAAAACTGAGGCTCATTAAGTGACTTGTCAAGTACAGGGTGGTAAATGTGGCTGTGAGGTGCACAGGTTTGATCCCTAAGTTAGTACTACTTCCTCAATGCCATACTGTCTTTCTATTATTCAGCAACAATAAACAAACAACTAGGGGATTTATACTTCTCTTCTGGAGAACTCTTTCTTTCCATATCCCTTTAGAATTCTTTGTTAGTATGTTCCTCTTGTAAAATTAATATACCTTATATTTAACATATATTAGATACTCAATGTTTATTGTGATGAAGTGAAAGATTGCTCAACTTTATCTAGTTTAAATGGCCATGAGAACACCAATATTTTTGTTTAAAAAGATTTCATTAGAAAAAGATATATAGCTTTTGGAAGACTCTGAGAACTTAGGAAGAATTCATTAAATATGATGATTGACTTATGAAACTACCTACCATTACTGCTGACAATTCTGACATTACAGTGTTTGTTGATCTTAGGCCTGAGGGCTTGTTCTATTACTTACTAGGTAGATTAAGTTTGAGATATGGACTCTAATAAATAAGTATTTCAATGTTTAATCCATTTTAAAGTTTTATATAAAGGAGACAGTCCTGGAAAGAATGTTATCTCTAGGGGTAAATATTAAAAACACCAGAAAATGATAAAGGTTTTATAAAATCCTCAGGAAAAATTCTATGTAATTTATCCTAAAAAATAATACTCTTTGTATATTACCCTTAATACTCAGGATATTTTCTGTCTTAGAGAGTCTTTGATTATAACAAATGTTTTCTACTAATTCTCTCAGAAAGCTGAAAAGCATTGTCCTAATAAATGTTTTTCTCTCTCAGTTAATTTATCCTCTTCAACTCCAAACAAATTTCTATGTATATGCAAATCTTTATTCCAAGAGTCTAATGTAAGAAAGATTACCTAGGATCCACTGTGTGTGTGTGTATGTATATGTATGTGTGTGTGTGTGTGTGTGTGTATGTATGTATGTATATGTATGTGTATGTGTGTGTGTGTGTATATATGTATATGTATGTGTATGTGTATGTGTGTGTATATATATATATTTCCCTAGCTACCACTGATTTCTGTACTACTATGTGTAGTAGATGATATGGAAGAAGCAGCCTGGAGATCTGACTGTTGTTTTTTATTCTTTCCAAACTCTATCACCAATATTTTCCCATGCAGTTTATATCCATTTACTAGATACAGTGCTTGCTGTGCTATCTCCACATCTAAAAGAAAAAGAAAACAAATCAATTTACATAGAACTTAATAATTCAATTTTATTCCAAGTCTAGTTTACATTGCTTTTCTTCAATGTTAACTGTTGGCTGTAAGGTCATATCATTTGATTTTATCATCTTTACTATAACTTCAAATTTGTATAAACCAGGAAGACTAAATATCTCACAATAATGACAACAAAGCTCAAATAGATTTTTTTTTTCAAATAGATGTTTGAGGGTGTATTCTAATTCAAAAACATAGGTAAAGAAACAAGGATACGAGCAGTGTGCTAAAGTAGTACAGACTATACTAATTATACATTATCCTCTATCTTTGATACAGATTATAGGTATTATGAAAACCAAAACTTTTTCAAAGTGGCAACAAAAATAAAAGGAAGCTTTGCTACATTTTTCTTTCAGTGGGGGAGTGGTTATGGGAATATTATTGGGATAAATAGGTTTAAGAACTTTTGTAGGCATATAGAAGCTTCAGGTAAGAGAATATATAGTGTACAGTACAAATATTCAATTAATGGGACTTGGATGTAAGAAATAAGGAGGTATGGATTATGGCCAGGAGTTGTGTAACCATATGTAGACAATGTTATTAGACTGAACCAATTAAAAAATTAGTTGTAGATGAACATAATACCTTTATTTTATTTATATGTGGTGCTGAGGATTGAACCCAGTGCCTTGCACATGCTGGGCAAGTGCTCTACCACTGAGCCACAACCCCAGCCCACTAGACTGAACCAATTTTTGTCTCAGATATATGTACTACAAATTTTCAAATGTGTAGTATATCTGCTGCTATTATTAGTAAAATAGCCATGCATTAAAAGTACTTAGTTTGTAAGCCCTTTTTATTACATATTTCTTAATTAGTGGGTCATATTTTTTTTTAATTTAAAAGGGGTCCTCAAACTTGAAAAGACTGAAAAACACTGGTACAGAAGATCTATAAACTTTCAGTGAGATAGGAAAGATGACATAGGACTATGTGAAAAGAAGCTGGGCATGGTGAAACATGCTTATAATCCCAACAACTTGGAAGGCTGCAGTGGAAGAACTGTAGGTTCAAGGCCAGCCTCAAGAACTTAGTGAGATCTTGTCTCAAATAATCAATCAATCAATCAATAAATGGGGTTGGGGATGTAACTCAGTGGTAAAGTGTCCCAGCACCAAAAGCAAAACCAAAAACTGCATGAAAACAATGGAGAGGAGTTGGCAGTATTCATGTGTAAAACTACTTGCTTATAAAAAGGATAGCAGACTATTTATAAATGATGACAGTTCAGTGACAATTAAAGGTACACATTCTACCTAGCTTCTCCCCCAAAAGACATGAAACTCCTATATTGTTCTGGCACCTGGATTAGAACACTGAAACCATGTATTAACATGCAAGTAATATTTAGAAGAATGCATCCTCCAGTACTAATTATAATTTAGTAATGAATTAGTATATTATCTTGCAGTCACTTAGTCCTAAAGGAATAGGGAATAAGGCAAATACATGTGTTCTGATCAGAATATCAATATATTATTCAGTGAATAATTATAACTTAGACTAGAAATATCATTGTTAGCAAAAGGAAATAAATTTTAGTAGGGTAAGAATGAAATGTCAACATTGGGAAAATTGAGACATATATATGGTGGTTACACACTGCCAAAAGAGGAGAGGAAGAACAGAAAGGGGGATAGAGGAGCACTAAAAACATTTTCCTTAATTCTCATGTGCAGTTGAGAAATCAAAGGGCTATATCCAAAGAAATAAAAGGACTATATATAGAGAGGTTATAGTCTCTAGTGAACTGACACTACAACAGTAATTATCTAGATGAAGTTACTTACTGGGAAATGTGATGAAAGCCTGTCCCCTCATTCGTCCAGTCATCATTTGGAATTGAATCGGAGGTCCCTTTTTCTCTTGGAACCGAGCAAATAATGACACAAGATCTCTTTCACTCACGCGGGGGCTAAGATTCTTCAGGTATAACACCTAAAGTAAATTGAGGATCGACAGAAATATCACATGAGGTAGGTAAGGCAATTCTTCATTATGGTTAGAAATAATTTCATATCAATATCATGGATTGAACACATTCATCTAATTTTATTCTCTCCAGAAAACTTTCTAAAATTATAGGCACTTTAAAAAAGCAAACACAAACTAAGAAGGTCAGAAAGAATAAGGAAAGAAGACAATGGCAACAATATCCCAGAAACTGGAAAAAACTGGATGATTAGGAAACAACTCAGTACACTCCATAAATCTGAATATTAAATCAGTACCCACATCTCTACTTAAGAATTCTCAAACAGTTCAGAAATTGATAATTTCAGCTATCTCTGGAAATGGATATTAAGAGATGGGGTTAAAATAAAGTTGGTGCACTGAAACCTGTTTAAAAACTAATGTGATCTTTAAATACCTCCTTTACAATATGCTACTGAGTAATGGCAATTTGCTGATCCTGGCAGAATACTGGAGTTTCATTGTTGGAATATGGATAATGCCATAACATAGCTGAGAATATGAATACTATTTCTGAAAGCAAGGAGACTAAGAGAAAGAATGCATACTAAATGCTGGTTTCTCCCTGGTCTTTGCCCACCACTTGGCTCCTAGAATGCTTGAAGTACCACACAAGAAATATTTGATTAGAGAAATGCAAATTAAAACTACACTGAGATCTCACCTCACTCCCGTCAGAATGGCAATTATCAAGAATTCAAGTAACAATAAATGTTGGTGAGGATGTGGGGGAAAAGGTACACTCATATATTGCTAGTGGGACGGCAAATTGGTGCAACCATTATGGAAAGCAATAGGAGATTCCTCAAAAAAGTAGGAATGAAACCACCATTTCACCCAGTTATCACACCCTTCAGCATAAACCCAAAGGACTTAAAATTGGCATGCTTCAGTGATGAAGCCATATCAATGTTTTTAGCAGCTCAATATACAATAGCTAAGCTATGAAACCAACCTAGGTGCCCTTTAACAGATGAATGAATAAAGAAAATGTGGTATATATACACAATGGAATATTACTCAGCCTTAAAGAAGAATGACTTTATGCATTTGCCAGTAAATGGATAGATCTGGAGACTATGACACTAAGGGAAATAAGCCAATCCACAAAAAACAAAGGTTGAATGTTCTAATATGTAGATGCTAACATACAACAAAGGGAGGTAGGGAGAGAATAGATGTTCAGTGGATTAGACAAGGGAATGAAGAGAAGGGAGGGACAACAGAATAGGAAAGACAATGGAATAAATCTGACATAACTTTCCTATGTACATATATGAATACACCAGTTAATCTCCACATCATGTACATCTACATGACTGGGATCCTATTTATAATAAGATATTCTCCATGTCTGTATAAGTATGTTAAAATTGAGTCTAATGGCAAATAGTACTAAAAAGAACAAATTAGAAAAAAAAGAAAGAAAGCATTTGGAATAGATTCCTTTGGGGAAACTGATAAGTTCGAAGAGGAAATATTTTTAAATGCTGACTTTGGATGGGAAATTTCTCTAAGAAATGACCAGCCAGGATAATTGTTTTTCTCAGAGTTGGGGACCAAACCCAGGATTTGTCAAATGCTATCCAAACATTCTATGACTGAACTACATCCCCAGTCTCTCAGAACATCTTAAAATGAAATTCAAAGTCCACATGGGCCATTCATGTTCTCGGATCTTCCAAACAGCTTTTTAGTCCTTACTTATAGATATAGCCATGGATTATCAGGTTTTTGAGGGAAAAATCTATCTAATGTGAAGGAAAGAGAACAGAACAAAATAAAAAGAAGAAAATGGGGAAAAAGAAGCACTATGGAGGGGGAAAACCTTCAAAAATTATAACTAATACCCTCAGAGAAATAATACAAAATATTCTATCAATTAGGAATGGGATACTATTTTAAAAATCTAAGCAAATAAAAGAGCTATATTATGTGATTGAATTTAAGTTGCTTAAAATAGGTTATTGTCAGGAGCCACTCTGGAAATACATGCCCTTAAGACCTGAGCAAGAGATAGTGAACAATTATTATGCACAGCAATAACTTGGGCTTTACCTCCCCTCAGGTAATGAGGTGTGGCTCCAGGAGTAGGTGTTACCTGGTGGGGTTGAGTTACACTCACCTGTTCCTTTGTAATCCTACCCCTTGTCCCTTTTTTGGATAGAATGTTCTAAGAAACAGTGTCTCCCAATAAAGGCCAACTCCAAAATGTGTGCTCCCTCCCCACCTCTCTCTCCAGCCTCTTGTGACTTTCTCTTGCCCCCCTGAGGGAACCTGAGGCCAGGAGCTGGGGAAGCCGTCCTGAAGCTTATAAAAAATGGGAGTTCATAACCCACTTGAATCAAAGTATGAAATATGATATATCAAGAAACATGTAATGTTTTGAACAACCAACAATAAAAAATTTTAAAAAAATGTATTCTGTGTCTGCGTGGTATTTTGTGTCACCCCAAATTCACATAAGTGACTTTGGTTCAGTTGCCTGTGCTAAATAGGGGCAGTAGATTGGCACCTGAATGAGGGGCACTCATTGTGAATTTGGTGGGTTGACTTTGGTTAAGCAGCTTAGAAAATTCAGAGTAACGTGGATTGGGTTGTGAGAGAAAACAGGTTGCAGATGGAGAGTAAGGGACGCTAATCATAATATGGGGAATTCATCATCTTCAAAGAGAGAAATCTGCTTCATGATCCTGGAGACATTAATCAATCATAGGGGAAAACAAATCAAGAGAACCCAGCTCACTACATTCCTAAAAATAGTCAATGATGTCTGTCCATGGTTTTGTGAGGAAGAATTGCCTAATTTGCCTACTTTCTGTAGGTAGAAAGCTGTTTAAAGGTTGCCTCTCTGCTAAACTACCTGGAGGTACAATAGAGAATATTTAGAAAGTCTGGACTGCCTTATAAATGTGTCTTTTCGCGGACCGAGAAGAGGACCACTGGTCCTCCGAGGAATTGTTGGAAGGGCTGCAGGATGCAATTAGGACCTTTGAACATGACAGCCTTGTGCCATTCCAAGACAAATTTCTCTGTCTTTGCCCGGACTAAGGGCAGAGTTAAGTCACGCCCAGTGTGTAGCTTGTAAACCTCAGACAGAAAGGCTTGGGGGCAAAACCTAAGACTATTCAAATTACAGCAGATTAAGGCAGAGAGTGATTCACAAGCATATCAGCAAAACTTGTTGGTAGGGGCCTGTGCTAGAGAGTAAACCAGCCCAAGTTGAATTTCAGGAAGGGAAAATCCAAGATGGAAGGGAGGAAACCGCACAGGGAAATTCCAGAGAGGCCGAGCTGCGGGTTCGGAGGAGGATCCCAAGTCCAATGGAGAAAGTGAGCTGGGAATGGGTTTAAGTAATCTGCGGTTGGGTGGTCCTGCTTCTGCCATTCGGATACGGCCACTCCCCTACCAGAGAAGGAGATTCAGCCATTCCAATGTGGCCTTCGGGAGAGAGAAGACATTACAGGTTTCCAGCTTTTTCCAGTTTTTGAGGTAGACAAGCAAAATCAATGTGTTCGAATTCATCCTGCAGTTTCTTTTAAAACTAGGAAGGAAGTGAAAAATGCTTGTTGCACTTATGGTCCAGTTTGCCTTTTGTTCAGAGCTTTATTGAATCAATCTGTAGTGAGCCATTACCACCTCATGATGGATTACGCTAAACAAAGTGTGTCTGTCCGGAGGTGGACTTTTATTATGGAGATCAAACTGGATGGATTTTTGCACTGAACAAGCCAAAAGGAATAGCAGACATGGTATTGATAGTCCCGTAGACATGTAAACTGGAATAGGACCATTTGCAGATTTAGAACAACAGTTAAATTATGATTTACCAATTTATGATCAGATTAGTATTTGTGCTAGAGAGTCCAGAGAGAATTACCAAATAAAGGTGAAAACATTTTGGATTTCAGTCAGATCTGGCAGGGACCAGAGGAGAAATTCTCAGATTTTGCAGCATGCCTTTACCAGGCAGCAAATAGGACCATTGGTGATTCCAATGCATCTGAGGTTTTGGTCAAACAATTAGCTTTTGAAAATGCCAATAAAGTCTGCCAGGAAATTATCTGACCCCATCAGAAAAAAGGAATTGTTTCTGAACTTATTCGCCTTTTCTCTGATGTGGGTCCAGTTCAATTGCAAAGTATGATTATCGCTGTGGCTTTAAAGTAAGTTTTACATCCTCAGTCTAGGAGAAGACACTCTCAGGGGCAATGTTTTAACTGTGGTAAGACGAGGCACATGGCTAGGGACTGTGGGTCGCCATGCATCTGGGGAGATCCACCTGGTTAATGCTGGTGCCACTGGAGAGGTGGCATGGGAGGCTCCGGCAGGCATGGCAAAGGTGGCCAGCTGCCATTTGTGGCTACACTTCCATCTTCACCACCACTGGGAAACTGGAGGCAGGGCTTGCCCCAGCCCCGCCAAACAGTAGGGGTGTTTCAATTTACACTGGAAGAGGAGCCAAAGGCTCACAGTTAGATGTCATCAAGCCTAGCCCAGCCGCTCAGTATTACTATCCTTCTGGGATGTTTCCTTCCAAGAGGCTGAGAGCTTGGGACTCTGACCAGCCATGGGACTCATTTTAACTCCTGAATTGGGCAGACAACAAATCCCTACAGGGATTCACAGGCTGCTGTTGCAAAATACCATAGGCCTAGTGTTGGGATGAAGCAATTTAAGTCAAAGAGGAATTCAAATATTGCCAAGTGTTATTGATCCAAATTTTGAAGGAGAAATCAGGGTTACAGTTCAAATGATTTGCGTTATCCAGCTTTCTCCCAGGGATGTTGTAGCACAATTAATATTCTTGTCTTGTAGCTCCACAAACAGCCTGGGTGAAAACCCGAGTTCTGGGTCCCGGGGCCAAGCCTATTTGGCTCAATTGGTTAGACAGGAGCGCCCTCTATTGGATCTTAAAATCAACTATAAAAATTTCAGAGGTGTGCTTGATGCAGGAGCAGAAA